GCATCAAACTACCTGCTCCTCGTTGTTGATCGTTTCCTGTGTCGTTGGAAGTTTCATATGCTCCAAAATGTACTTGCCTGAATAAATTACTCATTTAGCCATCACATGCCGCCTGATGTTTGAGATCCGACAGGTGTAACAGCTGCTGGAGTTGCAAATATGTAGGTAGGTAGAGAACTTGTGATAGAACAATGGGGTACTAAATTTTTAGTAGGAAAGCAAGGCTGGTAGGTGGAAAGCCGAACAAGTATTGTCCGTCTTCGAAGACGGACCTTATTGAATCTGTTGGTTCTTATTGCTTATGTAAAGATATGGGAGTAGGCGCGCGCCTATTACTCCTATTCATATATCGTTGGGTACCATGAATATAAAAAGCTTCATTTTGCATTACTAAATAGAAATTTTTGGTTTTCCACCGACGGCGACCTGAACAACTCCATTGAAAACATCATCAACACCAGTCTAGGTCGAAATGCTGTTGCATTCCGACAAACTTCTCCCAAAATAAAAGGACTTGAGGCATACAGCACTAGGAGGTCAGAGATAAAGGCCCCATTGTGCCAAATTCTGTATCAACAATACAACTGTAAACTAAAAATTGGTGGTAAAGTTGCGTAGAATTGTGTTTATAATAAAATGGGAAGCAAAAACAAGCATATGTTTTCGAAGGCTAAACAATTCATATATGTTATGGCTTTTCAATTTCAAGTTCCTTTCCTCCAGAAGGCGTTGTTATTATCACACTGATACTTGTGCGAACATCGGTCCAGCGGCCAACTAAGAGAATTAGCGTGGTCGGAAGAAATTCTCTGACAGCTGAAACACGCTAAAATAGCAAAGGAGTGCTAATTACGGAAAAAGTAAAGGGACTGGAATAAGGTAGTCGTGTGGAATAACTATGAAAAAGGAAACTCTAGGACGACACACACTAGTAATGTAGAATATAAGGTTTATTGGGAGCTCATCAGTACCCCCCTCCCCGGTGCTAATTTATTTTCCCTAGTAAGAAACATACATTCTTGTTTTCTTAGAAGGATAAGAATACAATAAGTACATTGTGCTCAATAAACATGTATTGTAACGCGTAACTGGGTTTGTTTATGATAGTAAAACTTATTATTTCCAACTTAAACCGAATCCTTACACAATCATCGTAAAAAATCAGGTTTTTGATGTGTAGAACCTTAAAAAAATTCCGGTTAGAACTAGGGTGATTGTGTTTGACGTTCACCTTCCCTGCAACATTGTTGAGGTAGCTACAAGGGTCCACTGCGAAAAACAAACACATTACTTTCTTGAGTCTTTTACTCTGTGTATTCACTATAAACATGTGAAAAGTAGTCTATTCTCCTCAACATTCATTGAATAATTTTCAGGCGCCTTGAACATATTCGTTGGCGGGACTATGCCCGAGACATAAAAGACTCAGGAAACATTACACACATTTTTCTGATTAAGAACAATTTTAACGCCATAACTTTCAACTAAAGAGCTTTTGACAATTCAATGTGCAACAAACCATCACGATATCGCTCACACCACTTGTAAAGACTAGTTGTAATCTTGCGAGCTTCTAATTCAAGGT